TGCCTGACCTGTAGGCGGCAGTACTTCCCCCGTTCTTAACCTCGTCCTTTGTCTGTGGTTTTCCGCAAGGAGCAGTAATTCCGCGTGCAAAAACAAATAAGAAAAAAGCGCTTGAACAATTGATAAAGCGAGTGCAGCTCTGAGGGCATCCATGCTGTTGGCACAGCGTGTGCCGTCGCACATGTGATGTCAGCATTTTTTTGTCGTGGAAAGTGACGTTGCTGACCTTTAAACTCCGGTTTTGTCTGTCCACACGCAGACACCTAAAATGGAGAAAACGCAGATCTTCACTTTGGCCGGAGTTTTTAAAAAGATCCGTTTTCGTGTGAAGAAACTCAGTTTTCGTGTGGATGACAGGCCAAAACATGGACAAATATCTACGTTTTGGCAGATCCCCGGCTACGTGTGGACAGGGCCTAAGTCGGACCTGTTCCCAGTGAGGGTTGGACTCTGCTAGGGCTGCCCTTTGTCACCGGTTCTATTCATAACCTTTATGGACAGAATTTCAAGGCGCAGCCATGGTGTGGAGTGTGTCGGGTTTGCTGGCAGGAGAATCTCGTCTCTGCTCTTTGCGGATGATGTGGTCCTCCTAGCTTCATCCAGCTCTGACCTTCAGCTCTTGCTGGGTAGGTTCACGGCTGAGTGTGAAGCGACTGGGATGAGGACCAGCACCTCCAAATCTGAGACCATGGTTCTCGACCGGGAAAGGGTGGCTTGCCAACTCCGGGTCGGGGGAGAGGTCCTACCTCAAGTGGAGGAGTTTAAGTATCTCGGGGTCTTGTTCACGAGTGAGGGTAGGAGGGATCGGGAGGTCAACTGGCAGATTGGTTCAGCGTCTGCAGTGATGCGGACACTGAGCCGATCTGTCGTGGGGAAGAGGGAGCTGAGCCAGAAAGCCAGGCTCTCAATTTACAGATCGATCTACGTCCCAATCCTCACCTATGGTCATGAGCTTTGGGTTATGACCAAAAGAACGAGATCACGGATACAAGCGGTCAAAATGAGTTTCCTCCGTAGGGTGGCCGGGCTCAGCCTTAGAGATAGGGTGAGGAGCTTGGACATTCGGGAGGGACTCAGAGTAGAACCGCTGCTCCTCCGGATCGAAAGGAGTCCGTTTAGGTGGTTTGGGCATCTGGTCAGGATGCCTGCTAGACGCCTCCCTGGGGAGGTGTTTTGGGCATGTCCTGCCTGCAGGAGGCCCCCGGGTCGACCCAGGACACGTTGGAGAGGTTACATCTCCAATCTGGTCCGGGAACGCCTTGGGGTCCTGCCGAAGGAACTGGTGGAGGTGGCTGGGGAGAGGACAGTCTGGAGCTCCCTAGTTGGGATGCTGCCCCCACGACCCGGACCCGGATAAGCGGAGGAAGACGACGACGACGACAAAATAAGGCAGCTCGGCTGATTCTGAACTGTTCATTTAGTAAGAGCTGTGAGGATATGCATACTGAACTGGCATGGATGTGTGTAAGGAGGAATATTATAAATACACAAACACCAGATATTTTTTTTAATCAGCTGACATTGTTTAAGGATGTTCACCATCACGCTACATGCCAAGCTGATGGTTGTTTTACGTTGCCAGCTAGTCAAAATCATTTTATTCAAAGGTCAGTATTTTATAGAGCAACGGTGGAATGGAATGGTTCACCGCAATTCTTGAGGGGTCAGTTACACAGGAGTGATTTGGAGGAGTGGGGTGGAGATTATTTATTCATACCCGTTTGACACGAGTTGGAAGAATATATGAATTAAATGATTTATTTACTTTATGGTTTAATTGTAAATTTTGTTGTCTATTGTGCATGGGGAAATTGTGTTTATATGTTGCTGTGAGATATATTATATTTTGTTATTGTATTGTTGTGTATTCTAATAGTGGAGATGAATTTTGTAGATGGAAATTGATTGTTTGTTTATGAGCCCAGTGTTGATGCATTTCTCATGTTTATTTGACGATATGACCCCAGATAGAATAGCAACTGTTTTAACAGTGGCTTATGGGGATCTTAATAAAAACAAACAAACATCCAGTGTCAACGAGGGGTCGGGATGTTTAGACAGTCTGCATCTTTGGTCCTGTCTGGTGTGGATATTGTTGTGATGAGAGCCTGTTCTTATTATCAAGACCTGTTAGGAATCCCATGGTTAACAGGTTGGTGCTGGAGTATTCCCACCAGACTTTGGGTGTGGATGTAACACCCATCCCATCCATAAGTGATCTGAACAGACAGAGATGTATCATTTTTATATATATATATATTTCTTTAACCCTCCCACTGTCTTTATGGGTGACCCCGCCAGGAGAGTTGATCATTGAGCAGGGTTGATGGTTTATCCCTTGGGTCCACGTGGCAAGGGTGAGGTGGTGCTCACTCCTCACCCCTGCCACATGGACCCAAGGGATAAACCATCGACCCTGCTCAATGGTGTACTTTCCTTGCAGGGACACACCTATTAGGACAGTGGGAGGGTCAAAATGTCTTCAAAATTTTCGTGAACTAAGGCAAAAGCTGGAAAAAACTGTTGGATGTCTGCGACCTTCCTACCTGTGAGTGACTCTGCGTAGCAAACCAACACGCTCCAGTCACTGTAACCCACCTGTGACCCAATTAGGAGTTGAAAATCCTCCATCATTATCACAAAGTCATGTAAAGTCGCATATTGCTGCTGCACATTAGGGGTTTAGCTTGCTTTGGGAGAGAATGAACTCTGGGTTCTGCTTGTAAAAATGAGACAGCTCTTCTATAAATAGGGAAAGGTGCAAAAGTCAGCATTTGTAAAAGTATGGGGGTGCATGACTGTCCACATCATAAGTGACTGGAATGGAACATATGGAAAAGCCAATTCTGCAAAAAAGTAGCAGGTTTAAAACCCAGCAGTGGTTTTATGTTCCCTACATGCAAGCAACCTGAGGCTATTGAATGAATGAATCTTACATTACTCGATTGGATTTCAACATTTTTATAGGCCAAGTTCACTGAAAAAAATGTTTTTTACTTGTTATTGTTTTAAATATGATTACTCACAAAGAGTTTCATATGCAGGCTAAATGTGGAAATAGTCTTCTACCCCTATTTCCCGCATTAGCCACTGATAGAAGATAGATGAGGAAACACTCGGATTTGTAAAGCCTGACACTTGCATGCCACATTGGAAATGAACATACATGGACTCACCCATCTTGGCTCACAACAGGAAGGCTGTTGTTGTTTTAGCATTTAGGAAAGAGCAGAGCATGTCTCAGCTAGTGGAAGCTAACCATTAGCATTAGAACCTCTACCACACAGCAGAACTCCTTCAGGTTGGCTATATTTATGAGTCAGTGGTAGAGACGTGTTGCTGTCATCCAGTCAGAGACAAGATGTCAAAATATCAGGAAATAAGACTCCAGATCCTGTCGTGTTCTGATCGCCTCCCCTCTGGCTGAATTAGACTTCCTGAAACAGGAGCACCAGAGCTATTTTAAAGATTTTTGCAATAAAATATCAATCTGAGTGTGATTATGTTGTCCATTCTAATTTAAGGTGCTTCAACTGTACTTATTTATTTGAAATTTTCTGGTACACAAACACTTTTAATTCAATTATATGTCATTTTCATACAATTCATACATCAAAATTTAGGCATTTCTGTTTTGTTTGACTGATATTTGATGCATGTGTACTTTTTATTTTTTAATATTTTCTGGCAATAAAAGAACTTCTTAACTTGTCACACCTCCTACATCAAACAGACTCAAAGAGGTTGACACGTGGGGTGGAAAGAAATAATTTTGAAGGAATTTTATCTGTGAACCTTATTTTTTTGCACAGTAAAAAATTGTTTGGTGCCTAATTTCTAAACTCTATTATTGTTAGTGTTTTTTTTTATTTCAGGCAGATGCAGGTCTTAATCTCTTCAGAAAGTTTCTGATTTTATTTCTTATTATTATGTGGATATGCTTTTTGGGCATGTGTAATATTTAGATTCAAAATGTAAAGGGGGGAACATTTATTACACAGCATATGCTACTTCAGGACTGAATAAATGATCCACTTTGAAGTGCTCCGCTGCACAGTGTGTATTTTTCTCTGACAAATGGCTTTTCACCAAGCAGCTATGAGTTCATTTGAATCCGTAGGCCTCGACAATGACTGTGTCAAGCGGTAGCAGTTTGAATAATTTGATGCAGGAATATGTAACAAGGCAGCAAATGCAGTAATTCAGCCCAGGGCAAAGCACCCAGAATATTTGGTTCCATAAATACAATCGTCTCTTTAGCTAGTCGACTGACAGTGCAGGACAAGGCAAAGATTTGTTCACGTCTGTCTCACTCCATCGCTCACGAAACTCTAATGTCTGACTTGGACAATTCCCTTTATCTTCATTTCTTCCTTCTTTCGTGATTTGAGCATTGCGCTGGTGGACCAGATCAGGCAGAGCACCGCTTGTTTTGTCTAAAATAGTTTGGTTGCAAACAGTTCTCGATGCTTGGCTACAGAGAAACATGAGCTACTCAGATCAGATTAACGGTGAACAACAACGCTTTTATGAGCACTACCAAAGAGAACAAACACATCAAAGCACATCACTCTGGAACATCATCCAACAGCTTGTTAGGGTGTTATTAGAGGACAATCTGTAGTGATTCACGAGGCACTTCTCTGGAAAAGAACTAACTCGACAGCGCCTGTGAAATTAAGAGTAAATCCCCTAAATCTGCTGTACTACAAGCATTAGAATTGCCTTTGAATATGTCGAAAATGGTAGCTGGAGGTTTGTTTTAAATTGATATGAGGTCAGGAGGGGGAGAGAAGAGCCTTGGGATATAGACATGTAATTCAGGATGCTAGAGGGCCACAGCTTTCAGATTTAGTCAGTCAAATGTTAGTTTTGAGTATGTTTCTTTTAATAATTACAGATATTCTAAATTAAATCAGAAGAATGAAACAAATGAGGAGTTCTGTACGTGTTTTGAGCCAATAGTTTGACTTCAGTTATCTCCCTCTGTGATTCCACAGGCCTTTGATGCATTTATTTACATCTTCTTTGCACTGGAGATGGTGATAAAGATGGTGGCTCTTGGGATCTTTGGTCGTCGCTGTTACCTAGGAGACACGTGGAACCGACTGGACTTTTTCATCGTCATGGCAGGGTAAGTGTTTCATCTCAGCGTTTTTACGACGTTACTGTTTAATTATTAGTCTTCCGTCCTCCTTGCACATTTCAGCTCATTTCTGGTTGCAGGGAGCTTGCTTCTGATGTTTAAGGCTGTTTGATTACATTTTCTGGTCAACATGGTTAGATTTAAATTAGTTCATTTTAAATGTGTGCTGTTTGGAACAATGGCCCATCTTTTGTTCTCGTCTCTTGGGAAATTTTAAGAGCGTAAAACAAGACTGGAAGAGCATAGATATGTATAACAGATTGTTCTCAGTTGAGATTAATAACTAAATTTATAGAATATATTGCATAAAAACTCATGCTGCTGCATTTATGAAGGGTCTGCTTCAAATTTTGCCTTCTGACCTTCTGAAATCAAAAGTTGAGTTGTATGATTTGTATAAACTGGTTAAAGGCAGTACGTTCTTTATTCTGATTTGTATAAACTGTGTTCTTATTACAAAAGAATTTGGTTGGTGTGGGTTTAAAAGTTGATTACCAGGTGTATTATTACTCGTGTAATCCAACTAAAAAGTGAAATAGTTTTTGAAGGAACTCACAGTCACATGCTGTGCTAGCATAACGTTGGTGCATTCGTTTCTGTTACCATGAGAGACTGATGCATGAGCACACGCACACACGCACGCACGCACGCACGCACACACACACACACACATACACACACACACACATACACACACACACACACAAGAAAACATCTGCTCCAATACCTGCTATGATCTAATGGAATGAGACAGTCGGTCGTGTCTAAGTGAGTTTATTAGTCTTGATGTGAAGATGTAAATCAGTTGCTGCCATAGGATAGTGCAGCACTGCTTTTTTTCCCAGCGAAAATCAAAGTCTTAACCCTTCAGTAAAAAGGAAGAATTTTTATTTAGTTACTGAAATAAAAGAGGGATGCTCTGAAGATTTTAGGGTGTAAAAAAAATCTGTTGAAATATTAGAGTTTCATAAAATTACTAAAATCAACCTCCAAAGTATGTGAGTCCTAAGGTTTAGCAGCAATACCAAGAGACTGATGAAGAAGACAGACTCATATCAGGTCCCTATAAAATAACATTGATCTTTAACCAGATATTCTACTCCTGTCAAAACCTAGCCTGACCAGCCAGCCCCGTGCTTCCTTCCATCCATCCATCCATTTTCATCTGCTTATCCGGAGTCGGGTGGCGGGGCAGTAGCCTAAGGCGAGAGGCCCAGACTTCCCTCTCCCCAGCCACTTGGGCCAGCTCCTCCGGGGGAATCCCAAGGTGTTCCCTGGCCAGGTGAGAGACATAGTCCCTCCACTGTGTCCTGGGTCTACCTTTAGGTCTCCTCCTGGTTGGACGTGCCCGGAAAACCTCACCAGGGAGGCGTCCAGGAGGCATCCTGACCAGATGCCCGAGCCACCTCAACTGGCTCCTCTCGATGTGGAGGAGCAGCGGGTCTACTCCGAGCCCCTCCCGAATGACCGAGCTTCTCAGCCTATCTCTAAGGGAGAGCCCAGCCACTCTTCGGGGTAAACTAATTTCGGCCGCTTGTATCCGCAATCTCGTTCTTTCTGTCACTACCCAAAGCTCATGACCATAGGTGAGGGTAGGAACGTAGATCGACCGGTAAATCGAGAGCTTTGCCTTCTGACTCAGCTCTCTCTTCACCACGACAGACCGGTACAATGCCCGCATCACTGCAGATGCAGCACCAATCCGCCTATCGATCTCACGCTCCAGTTTTCCCTCACTCGTGAACAAGACCCCGAGATACTTAAACTCCTCCACTTGGGGCAGGACCTCATCCCTGACCCAGAGAAGTCATTCTACCCTTTTCAAATCAAGACCATGGTCTCAGATTTAGAGAAGCTGATTCTTATCCCAGCTGCTTCACACTCGGCTGCGAACCGCTCCAGCGAAAGCTGAAGATCACGTTCTGATGAAGCCAATAGGACCACATCATCTGCAAAAAGCAGAGACCTGATCCTCAGGCCAACAAAACGGATGCCCTCCACACCTTGGCTGTGCCTAGAAATCCTATCAATGAAGGTTATGAACAGAATCTGTGACAAAGAGCAACCTTGGAGGAGTCCAACTCTCACTGAGATGAGCCTGACTTAGGGCTGCTCAATTAATCGAATTTTAATCACGATTACGATCTGAGTTTTGGACGATTATAAAAAACAAAACAAGCCGATTATTTGCTCCTCCCGCTTGCGCTGCCCTGAGTTACAAATGAAGCGCTCCTCCACAGTGTTGCCAACTTAGCGACTTTGACGCTACTTCTAGCAGCTTTTCAGACCCCCTTCTTGACTTTTTAATCCTAAAAGTACCTGGCGAACATCTCAGAAACATCTCTGGTAACCCTTAGCTACTTTCTGGATAACTGTCGTCGACATTTCCTGCAAGTTAGCTAAACACTCCGCCTGTGCTCCGGACCGTCCTTCACAACATTAGGAAAGGGAATGATGCAGTGATGTGTCGGTCGCTAAAGAAACAGCTCTCGGAGCCGGATCCCTGTTGGATTAACCAGAGTGAGTGACACACACACCGCACCTGCGGACTCCTGAGCCACTAAAACGGCTAAATGTGCGCGTGCGGCGTGCTAAACACACGTGCAGCTTGCCCCGATTGCTGTGAGACCGGGTTGGGGGGTGGGGGGTGCAGCTGTGGTTGGGACAATTATTACATTAACTGATGGACTTGTAAATAAATAGTTTATAAATAAGGTAGAAATAAGTTCCTCACGCTGATAAATAATAACTAATCTCTCTGAGGACACGGTGCTAGTGTACTCTCCTACAGCACCTTGACACGACTTCAATAAATGTTATGCAACATTTTGTTAACATCAATTTATTTGCATTTATTTGTTATAAATGCCACTGTATAATTCTCGCTGTCAGTATTTGCAAGATATTGGTATTTGGGTCTGTACTGGTTAGACTTAAATGAGTTAAACCAAGGTCTATAGCCCTTGGGTCATAAACTATGAGCTATAAGTATATTGGTCTTTTTATACTGGGAATCAGGAGTTATTTTAGTGATCATCTTGTTTCTTATTTTTGTCCTGATTGTGCCCTGAGCAGTTTTATGACTGAATAAAAACAAATAAAATCAACATAAATTGAAAAATCGTCCTAAATAATCGTGATCTCAATTTCAGTCATCATAATCGTGATTATTATTTTTGCCATAATCGAGCAGCCCTAGCCTGACTTACTGCTGGCAATGCGGACCAAGCTCTGACACCGGTCATACAGGGACCTAACAGCCCGTATCAGAGGGCCTGGTACCCCATACTCCCAGAATACCCCCCACAGGGCCCCCCGAGGGACGCGAGAGGCCCTGTGGGGGGTACCCGTGCTTCCTTATGGGAAACAATGGGTCTGAGCAACACATTCTCACACACCGAAGCAGCGAAAACTGATGATGGGTGACCAAGCCTTTGTTTCTGATACATTGGGAGCCGCATCGCATCGGGAGGCGACGCGCTGTGCCAGAGCATCGGTTTCCGATGCCCACGGTAAAACACACATTTCATCAACATTTAACCTCCAACCTATTGCTGTTTAACCTTCACTCACCCCCATTGTAACCTTAACCCTGTTTCTTGTTCAAAACTTCCCGTTAACCATGTTTGAGGGGGAAGTTACGCAAGAAGGTAAAGGTCACAATTCTGTGAAATCTCCATTTTACTGCGGGCGTTGGAAACTGAGGCTCTGGCACAGCACATCACCTCCAGCTGAGCCAGCGTTTGTTTCCGACGCGTCGGGAGCCCCAAACGCTTGGTTTCCCATCGTCAGTTTCCGTCGCTTCGAGTGTGAGAGTGAGTTATTCTCGAAACTCTCCTTTTCAAATAACCCCAGCCCCTGAGACTTCTAAGCGAGCCAATCAGCGCTGAGCAGCATGTGTCACACACCACAACGCTGAGTTTGTCATAAACATGGCGGAGTTCGCTGCAGCTCTTTCCTCTGTTCTAAATTACTTGAGTAGAAGTAGAAGTGCTAAAAGCCTTTCTTCTATAGAAAGATGTTTGTGCTGTCGCCAGACAAAAGAATTACAATTCTTTTAAAAAACATACTGAAGTCAAAGTAAAAGTACATATTTTAAAAATGACTTAAAAGTATAAAAACACAAAAAAGCTACTCAATTACAGTAACGTGAGTAAATGTAATTTGTTACTTTCCACCTCTGGTAATCAGACTGGTTCTCTGTGTAGAATTAAACAGAGGACAAGTCTGGCAGGCCAGGCTAGTCAAAACCCTTTTCAAAGCCCATTATTTTTTCATTGCAGTTGACAGTTGAAATTACTATGTTGGATTTTACTGGGTTGTTTTTCTTTGTTGTACTCTATTTTTATGTTCAGGACTTTGCTCAGCTGTCATTCGGTTTTTAAATGTGCTTTGTATGGTAGTGTATGGTATGGTATGGTATGGTATGATCTGAATGAATTGAATTGCTTGTGAAAAGTGTAAGTGAGTAAAACTTTTCTTATAAAACACCTCTCAAGAAAAGAATCACATAATGTTGTACAAAAAAAGCAGGCACAATAAAACAGCATAGGTGTAAAACAATCATTTAAAAGAAGTTGTAAATAGATGCGTCTTAAGAAATTTTGACTTTAGAGTTACTGGCTTGGCGTTCCAAAGAGCAGGACCAGTAGTCAAAAAACACATGCTGGCCCTTGGTTTTCATCCTGATGCAAGGCCCCAAAACAGGCCCTAATCAACCGCTGAATTAAAAAGTGTGTGTGTGTGTGTGTGTGTGTGTGTGTGTGTGTGTGTGTGTGTGTGTGTGTGTGTGTGTGCGCGTGTGTGTGTGTGTGTGTGTGTGTGTGTGTGTGTGTGTGTGTGTGTGTGTGTGTGTGTGTGTGTGTGTGTGTGTGTGTGTGAATGTGTGTGTTTAACGTATCAGACTCTGTTTATTACTTTAGACTGTTTAAAACATGTCTGCATCTGTGTGAACATCTCTTGTCTTTGTTTTTCCCTCGCCGGTGGAC